CATATACAACTATGAATATAATATAAATTCTAGTATTTTAAAAAAAGTTATAGTATTTTAGGAAAATAGCAATGTAAAAATTTCTAAATTTATAAAACATGACTATTTAAAAAGAAAAACATATAAACCATTTCAAATTTCTGACATTTAATATATAAAGTTAGGTAAAAACGTATAATTAAATTATTTCCTCTTTTTCAAATTGTTTATAATATTTATAATTAATCAAATTATTTATAATATTTATAATATATTTTCAAACATATATGTGTTTAGCATATATGTATTTAGTTATTTTTATAAAGTCACTACATATCTATTTTTCAATTACTTCACTGTTGTGATATAAAATCGTTATATTAAATTATAGTTAATTAACTTAGTATATAATTTTTTGATAAAATTTATTATGTTTACCTGGAATTGAGAGTGATAGGACGAGAATACGAAAATATTCGACATAAATTCAAAAGCTTTGATCATAGGATACCATGCTATGTAATCTCTTTCCTTTGACAAATATTTAGCAATTCCCCAAAATATTGAGAAATTAAGTTTCTTCTCTACCGCAAAATGGAATGCATCATCGATGATTTGTGCTCGATTGAGAACATGTATATTCTTATATTCTTTAGAATTCAAGTATCGCCCAATTTTTAGCCAATTCTCAGTATCATAATAGACGCGATAGTATCCTGTTATACAACAAATTTTTGTTGGTTATTAAAATCTTATAATTGCTTTATGTTGATTAAATATATTTCAAAATATTTTCTTTCTCTTATTTATTATTTAATATATTCGTTAATAACGGAAATTGTGCATCATAGTAAGACATAAAAATATATCGATTATATTGCATTTGATGAAATTTTAATATTATCATGGTATATTGTAGAAAGAAAGAGAGAGAGATCTTATATCTTATATATAAGAGAATAATAAATATATATATAGGCTTTAATATATTTTTTAACATTTTTATTTATACTGGTATTTTACTCATATCGTATATGATATATGATAACTGAGTAAATTTATAAACTCGTATGTTTAAAGAATTTTGTATAAACTCAAATTAGTATTGGCTATAAACATAATGTCGACGTTATATAATATATAACATATGTAGACAATATAACTTTATCATTCAATATTTACCAGCTTGTTGTAAATTGAAAATAATCCACTGGCGTTCCTCAAGAAAGAATTTAATTTCTGACTGCCGTGACGTTAGCCAAGTAATATTAATCCAAGTTATAGTGAAATTGAGTTTTGATTCCGTAGTATAAGTAACAGGTATATAATATTGTTCTCCATCCAATTTGTTGTAAAATCGTATCGATACAATTACAGCATTGCTAGAATAATTTCGCATCACCTCTAATACGGAGAAACACCTCTGTGTAACCCATGAATCTATCATGCTTTTTATATTAAACTCTAACTTGTAATTTAATGCGTTCATTACAGATTGCATAGCGTTCCACAAATAACTGGAAGTTGTTGCGCCAGGCTCACTAAATCTATAAAATTTAACATGGCAATATTAACTTTATATATAAAAGATCAATATCATAAGAAAATCACAGTTTATATAATTTATTATCATATTTTAATTTATAATGCAACTCCCATACAAGTATTAACTTTTAATATAATTATGTATATTGTAATATGACATATAATAAAAAAATGTAATATATAACACATGATAAAAAGTTTATATATTTATTAACGATTGAATAACTTTTCATAATTAATAAATAATGAATTTAATTTTCACATTATAAAGGTTAAAGCTTTAAACTGTACATATATTTGTAAAACTTGATTCTTAAAAAATTATTCAATTTGAATTGTTTGTAATTTATAAACTATCAATCTCTATCTTATATATTTATTAAGAAAAACTCGAGTTGAAATTCACTCGACAAATTTATAAATATAAAATAACAATATAAATCTGAGTCTTTTCAAACATCTATGACTTTTAAATAATAACACAGGAAATATATTGCACAAATTCTTCTTAAAAAAATTTCTTTTCTCTACGATATATATATATATATATATATATATATATATATATATATATATTACATTAAATTATACTCATATATATATTACATTAAATTATATTCACCGATTATTCAAATATATGTCGATACTTTTTGAAAATATATCGGGCGACAATATTAATTCTAACATGCGCCATATAATGGGACCTATGATAATTGAAATAAAAAAATTATTTAATATACATATTTAAAATGCTTTTATCGCAATGTGTTTAAGTTAATAAATATATTTTTAATTTAAACTAAATAACAAATTGCTAGTTATATAAAAAAATGTACAAAAAGAAGTTTGGTTTCAAAAAGTTGGATCTTATATTCTTTTTGATATTGTTGCCGCAAAGATTATAATGAAATATAATAAGAATAAAAATATAGAAATTTTGACAAATAAATTTGTTTAAATAAATGATTTCCTACTTCTTGTGAAATTAACATTCAGAAATTTATAATTATTTAATTATCTACTTATGCATACCTTTGTTGTGAGAAAGAGCGGAGTAATAATTTTCAGGATAACTATTATGTTCTATAGCAGAATTTATAACGATATATGTGTTTAGATCGAGTAATTCATGTTGAACTTGAACTACAAACAAATCCATCACCCGCAAATTTGGCAGAGCCTAAAATCAATTCAATATAATCATAACTCTAATTAATCAGAGAGAAAAAGCTTTTAGTACATATAAAAATTAGCATCATAGTATGTTAATTAATTGCTAAAAAATGTTAAAAATAAAATTTGTCTGTGTGTAAATCTTTTCGTAATAATTTTCATATATAAAAATAAATATTTATTTCTTGTAAATTCCTTTTATCAGATTTATAGAAATTTAAAAGATTTTTGGATTATCATTATGTTTTATATTTAAGAAAATTTGTAGAAATATTTAGCAATTATACAATTTTAAACTGTTAATTGTTTTGACTACGTATTCAAATAACGTTAGTGATAAAATAATAACCTTCTCGATGATATATGTTTCAAAATATATTTTAAAACCCTTGTTTAACCATTGATCAAACCAGTAACTCAACAGATTGCTAATACATTTTTGTGCCATCCCACGTGCTATAATGTGCGTAATTCTTATTTTGCATGTGATATGATTTAATATTTTATCGTAAACGATATCTGTTTCTCTAAAAATCATTATAATTAAAATATAAAAAATTTTAAATATAATTTTACTTCAGTAAATTTATATATATATATATATATATATATATATATATATATATATATATATACAGTGACCGGCAAAAATAAAAAGCCACTTTCCTAGTTATACTGTTTTGCTTAATGAAAGAGTAAAAATATTAAAACGATGAGATTTTCATTGATGAAAGAAGAAGTATTTATTATTTATTTTAAAATTTTATGTTACAATTACATAAATTATTTTTTACTTTTCAGTTTTATTTATATTTCTTAAATATTGCTGTTTATTATATTGACAAAATAAAAAAGCCATTCAGATTTGTTCGATTTAATATATACAATATTTTGTTTGGTTGTCATGTCAACATGTTCGTGTTATTGCGCTCACTTCTCGTTGTTGTTAATCATTTTTGCAACATTGGCTTATCTCGATTATTACAAAAAAATCGCGGTCAAAAATGGGAGGAAGATCAATTTCCACACAAGTTCGAAACTTAATTGTGCGAGATATTCAAAAAGGTCTTTCCCAACGGAATATAGCCAAAAATTATGAAGTAAGTAGAGGAGCAGTAGAACAGATCAGAAGAAAATTTCAATCAACTGGATCGGTGGCAGATAGAATCGGAAGAGGTCGAAAACGAGCAACATCCAAGCGGGAGGATATGAAAATAATCCGTGAAGTTAAGAAAAATCCAAAGATTACTGTTAGAGAAATTCAGGAAAACATTTATCTTACTGTTTCTGACCGCACTGTACGTCGAAGACTCAATGAAGCAAATTTACACAGCCGGTTTGCACGTAAACGACCTTTCTTTAGCGTCACCAATAAGAAAAAACGTTTGCAATTTGCTCGGAAGTATGCAAATATGTCATTGGACTTCTGGAAAAATATTTTATGGACAGATGAAAGCAAATTCGAGTTATTTGGACAAAAGAAGCGGATTAGAATCTGGAGAAAACACGGCGAAGAGCTTCAAGATCGTCATTCAGAAAACTGTAAAGTATGGCGGAGGAAATATTTTAGTCTGGGGATGTTTCTCATGGGCAGGAGTGGGAAATCTTGTCAAAATTAACGGAATTATGACAGCAGATGTCTACATTGATATAATAAATGAAAATTTGGAGGAGTGTTTGTTGAAACTCGGACTAGAAGATAATTTTATTTTCCAACAAGATAATGACCCGAAACACACAGCAAAGAAAAGTCAAGCTTTTTTTCGTTCCTGCCGAATTAAACAACTTGAATGGCCTCCGCAATCTCCAGATTTGAATCCTATCGAAAATCTGTGGGCAATTTTGGATAATAGGATTAATAAAAGCGGAGTAACTAACAAGAATTCTTATTTTGAAGCATTACAACTAGCCTGGGAGAATTTGGATCCACAACATTTAAAAAATTTAATTGAAAGTATACCAAAAAGACTGCAAAAAGTAATTGAGGCTAAAGGAAATCATATTAATTATTAATTAAAATAATATTGTTGTTTTTTTAAATCGTAATACTATGTTACCTTAACTGGCTTTTTTATTTTGTCACTCTTAAATAAATGATTATATAGAAATAAATACAGTATTAAATAAAAAATGATTTCTTTTTAATTAAAAACATTAAATTACTTAATAAATTTTCAGTTTTAGTTATAAAAAACTTTATAATAAATTTTTTTTACCTTTTACCATCAAATCAGTTTTATAGTTAAGGTGGCTTTTTATTTTTGCCGGTCACTGTATATATATATATCTTTATTATAGACATATTACCTGTAAAAAACAAATCCCAATTTCTGTTTGACTTGATCTTTTAAATCCAAGATTGCTACATGATCCACTTTCTTTTCAAACAAAACATAAGTCTTTTCACATATCGAATTATTTTGTAAGTATCTAGTAATATTTTCAACAATATACAGCGCAAATTCCATTTGCGATTTCAATTGCGGTCTGTACAACATGCTAACAGTTTTATTGTTAGTCACATTATTGATCCGATGATAACTAGTTACTACTAATGCTACACTATCCATGGAGATCAAAGGAGTCGTGTGAAAATATGTCGATGTCATATTATTAGGCTCCGGTTTAGATACTTGTATCGGCATATTTGACAAAACTGTGTGTTGTCGATGATGGTTTATAGAAATATCGAAACTAATTCTCAATTCTGGATTGTTCCAATACGGAAATATTTGCTGTTTTTTTGTTTGAATATCTGTTGCCATTAACCTATTGTATTTAATATTATGCTCAAAATAATTATTACTTTTAGATAATTGCATATTAATCAATGTACAAAATATTTAAGAGTTTTGTTTTCATATCTTAATATACTTCTACTCACCACATATCTTCTCCTTCCTTTATGAACGAAATTTCGGAAGAGTTTGTTGTGAAATTATTATTAATTAAATCCATTCTCAAAAGATATACACCAGGTAACAAAACCTCGTAAAAGTCGAGCATGACAACATTTTCTTTTTCATAATTTGTTGAGTTAAATCCATAGGCCTTTTTACTACATAATTGTGTTAAGTCCATACTTCGTATAATCCACGAATTCGATAAATGAAAATTTATGTGTTGTGTTCCAAAGATAATATGAATAGTGATTACATTTTCACTCATAAGTAAAGGCGGATCAGTGCGAAATACAACTCGTATTAAATAATGTAATGGCAATATAGTGTCTGCCGAATTGTAGTACAGTGCATTGCGCCACATCACATCCGATTCTTCATTAGTAGGAATCGATATTGCCATTGTGGCTCTGTATATTAAACTACTATATAATAATAGCTTAATGAATATCATGTTAAATTTCTTTCGGATATCTATAAAAATGTTTCTTTATCAGAAACAAGATATTTTCAAATTTACAAATATTATGCGAATTAGCTTCGATTTTTCGATATTTGTGTGAAAAAACATACATGATATTTTATATCAATGCGAGAAAATAGGATTAATTAAAATAAAATTATTATATATATTGTATGTAATGTAATTTAGGTAGTTCCAAGAAGGATAACACAATAGATATAATTTTTAGTTCTCTCTTGTTCAATTATCTTTAAGATTTCTTCTAGTAAAATTATATATTTTTATGTCTCGCATATTATGGCATTCTGCATACATAGCATATTTTAAAAATTTTCATCTTTTCTTTAAATATATATGTTAAATTTAGCGAGAAACATTAAAATGTATGAGAGATGAAGGGATATTTTTAACAATTGGATTTTATACGTGATATGGATTGTATGTTTACTAATATGCTTTCTTCGAAGTTTATACGTCCTTCTTAAATTAGGTTTACAGTGAGAAATATATGAAAAACGAACGATATACAATAAATATGTGCCAAAAACTCAAATTTATTTAAAACTTTGTTGATGTAACAATTTGGATCAGATGGGAAAAAATGTTAAAAGAACTTATATTAGTACATTATGGCATACGCATTTTTGGAACAAAATATTAATCTATTGCTCGTTCTTTGCGTTTGTTACATTTTCCATGCATGTAATATTAGAGAACATCGACTTCATTATAAAAAAAGTGTTTTAAGAACGAAACACAAGCAATATTAAACGTCTTTAAGATAATTTTATAGCTATAGTGTAAAATTTTGGACACACAATAAATTTATATCGTTAAATAAAACTTGGCTTAGATTTTCTACTTATTAAAATAGTCAAATGATGCTATAACAATACACATCTAAATCTTCATCAGCTGCAATATATGCAGATAATGAAAATATTACTTGCAATAAAGAACTATATCAGATCATTAAAATTGCAGAGAAATCATTTTTAAGATATAAAATAATTGTTTGGTATTTCACACGTTTTGTATGCATACATTCAAAGGAAAAGAGATTTAATTTACATAAATTAAATATTTTATTGAATATTTATTTAATGTCTTACCTTATTGGTGAGTTAGTTAACTAGTAGGTTTAATAAAGGCTAAACATTCAATTGCGATCTTACTGCCTCAAAAGACTATCATACACTGACGGTGCTGTTACTTAGTTTATAAACATCCAAAATACGTAGTGTCGTAAATGTTATTTTGATTATATTTAACGTAGGAATATCTTTGCATCGATAGAAGTCAATACATATATTATACATACTTGTTTAAACTTTGTATTTCGTTTGACCGTTTTCATATTTAAAGTTTTTATTTATGAATTTTTTTAACAATTTTTTTGAAAAATCATTCATAAGAGAAAATTAATTTCGCAATCATTTCTCTCTCTACATATATATCACCCTGTATATATATATATATATATATATATATATATATACAGGGTGATTCAAAACAACCTGATGTCTTTGAAATATGTCTATGATATTCTTAAACAAATTCTAAGACTATTTTTCCTCTTGAAAAATTTTGTCCAAAGCTTAATTTTTGAGTTATAATAGAAAATAGTATATATATTTATATATTATTACACTGAGGAAAAAATTATCTTGAAATAAAAAAATTTTAGTTAACTCAAGAAAGCTATTTATTCAGTGGATACTAATCACGTATTTACTTGTATTCAAAACGTTTGTTTGCTTAAGTTAAATATTTATTTACATCTGTTTAAAAAAATATGTATGCTTAAAAAAATATAATTTTTAATTAAATATTTTTATTTTAATTTTACAAAATATTTATTAAAATGCATTTTTTATTCCCAAAAATTTAAAATTTTTTAATTTTAAAAAATAATATATTTAATTTAATAAATTATAGTATATATTTTACGAAAATAGTATTTAAATATAAAAAATATATAAATGAAAATAATGTACTTTATATAACATGCAAATTTAATTAAAATTAAATGATTTTGCTTAAATGAAATAAACAATTCCTTCCATTTAAAGTAAAAGTTTCAAGAAAATAAATTTATTTGATTTAAAAAAATTTTTCTCTCAGTGTATAATTTTTTAAATTAAAGTTTAAATATTTATATTTGTACATTAAATATATAATAATTTAATCTTAATTATCACACACACCCACACACACATACATACACATACATATTGCGATATAAAAATATATAATATATGCAGAGAATTTTCATCAGTCGATACACACGATAGTGTATTGATATTAGGTTGCTCCGATCCTGCCTATTATGAAGATAATTTCACATATATTCCTGTTACTCGCAAAGGATACTGACAATTTACCGTAGATAAGTACGTCACGTTAATCATATTTCAACAAATTCTTAACTTTGTAGGATTAAAATAGTACATATTAATCTGTGCATCGAAAGCCATCAAGCTATCGCTGATACAGTTACTCCATGGATAATTGGATCAATATCAAATATCAGTCATATTAATAATTTTATTAGAGTTTCTAATGATGAGGGATACGGCACAGTAAGTAAACGATTATATCTCTCACAAAACACATAGTCTTTAATGATAAAAATTTGAGAGTAGCAGAAAGTAAATGTCAGATGTGTTCAAATTAAACATAAATTTGTATGGAACAACGACATTAATCCACATTTTGGTTGAACGTACTTAATACATTTATTAAATATTAATTATTAAATATTAATTAAATATTAATTAATTATTAAATATTAATTATTAATATTGGATATTATTTAAAGGTAGATAGACTGCGATAAAACTTGGGAATTCCCTACAATCAGTTTTATTTTGGGTAATAAGAAATTCAATCTTACCAGCAGGAATTACATCGATCGAGTGAGCGCTATAGATAAATTATTTAAATTATTTAGATATATCTAAGAGAAGTTTACATTGTATTTAATTCTGCACAGTACGAGATAGAGGATGGTTTTGGTAGAGAAGTGTGTATAAACACCTTTATTGGAGATGATATTCCTGAAATAAATTGGATTTTAGGCGATCTATTTATGGGCCGTTACTATATCGAATTTGACATGCAAAATGATCGAGTGGAATTTGCTTTGGCGAAACACCTATAAAAAAAAGGTATACAGAAAATTTTCCCTTGTCACATTTTTCCCTTGTGTATTTTATGTTATTATTGTGTACCTTATTGTGTACAAAAATGACCCAATGGCATTAAAATTTTAATTTTTGAAAAAGACGACGCTCGATTGTGTCCCAAATCGAAACAAAAATTATCAAAATATACAGAAAATCTTTTCATGTCATAATATTTATTGTATATTTTATCATCAATTTTTTAAATTATTTGTTTAGTTTTCGATAAGAAAAAAAATTCAATCTTTCTTAATCGCCAAAGCCCACAAAGATCGTATGTCATCAATATAAATTTTTGCATAATTTATACATGATTGTGCTTTAATTTTCAACAATGCAATACTTTATCGTGAAAGCAGCTGATATAATTGCTAATTAAAATGTTAATTTTTGCGAATAAAGTATCATTTGCTAAATTCATTGCATGGATGTCTAGTCGACTTAGTCAATCTATTCTTTCGAAACGCTTGCTCTCTCATTATCATTCTTAATCATGCGCACATTTAATAATTTATTTTAATACAATTTATTTTAATTATAAAACAAATTATAATTAAAATAATATTAAATAAAATATAATAAAAAATATTATAATATTAAATAAAATATTTTTAAATTTGTCGATAGGACAGTTATTGTTTCGATTAGAGCTCTAGTAGTCAAATACAATTTATTTTTTGTAAATCATAACATATAATATATAAGGAAGAATTTTGCCAGAAATTTCGAAAACATGTTTTGCTTTCTCGTGGCTCACACGTATGCGGTTTTTGTTCGGCTGTGCTTCACCTTCCTCACTCTCAGTTGCCTGTTGCCAATGTATTCATTCTAGCATTACTGATATGAGTGTTCCGACCTATGTCTCGTATATAAAATCTTAAAAAAATTACCTTTTCAAAGAAAGGTAAAAAAAAAGAAGTTGAGTCATCTCAGTAGTAAAACATTATTGTATAAAACTATTTTACAAAAAATTATTTTAATAAAAAATTGCTGCATTAAAAAAAATTGTGTAAAATAGTTGTCATAATTATCTACAAAAATTAATGATATATTTAAATAGAAAATTACGTCGAGAATAAAAAAGTGCGATTTTATTTTATGTTTATCAACAGTGTGTGTGTGTGTGTTTGCTATGTGTGTGTTAGATATGATTGACTGCTGATAAATAATTAGACGAAGAAAAATTATGTTTATATTTTCGTTGAAAGTTATTACATCTTTGTCGTAAAAGTCAGAATTCCGATTTCTTCAACGATGAACAGTTGATTCATGTAGCTCGTAATTTAAAAAATTTCAATTATTAAAAAACTCTGCCAAATTTATTTGTATATTATTCAGCAGCATCGAATAATTTTTCTTCGTCTAATTATTTATCAGCAGTCAATCACATCTAACACACACACACACACACACACACACACACAAACACACATACATACACACATTATATTTCTGCTTATAGAGCATATAGAGCAAAAATAAAGATACTTTCCTGATATAAATCGAACCCAAGCAATTGATTGAACCTAATAAGAATTTGATTGATTCAACGGTTATTGAGAACCGATAATATGCTTTTACTCGCCACTTAGCCATTCGCGTAAAGATACACGGTGTATCTTGCGCCTGAGTGATGACTCGACTTCAAGACATTACCGTGTCTCTTGATCGTGGCATGAAAACATCGAATTTAAGGTAAAGAATGTGATTTATGTTAATCAAATATCGAACAAATTTATTTTGGAAACGTAAAATTATTTACTCTTTTAAAAATTATTTTTTTTTAATAATGAAAATTATTTGTATACATATGTCGTATATTTCAGTATCAGTCTTAATTTAAACTCGTCAAAGAAAATTACAAGTAGTTGTTTCACGAGTAGTTCGTCAGAGAAAACCTCAACGAAGACTTCTCTTTATGCCTTTAGAAGGGGTTTTCTTGTTCTTGCTATCACTTTTGATGATAGGTTTTCTTGTTCTTGCTATCACTTTTGATGATAGGATCAAAAAAGAACTTCTTTCCAAAAGACGTAAAAAGTCATTAAGCAAAATAATATTTGTACGCAACAAATACAATAAATAGAATAAGATTTTCAAGTCCCTTTCAATAAAACAGCCGGAACGCATAAAGTAATTTTGACATGTCGTCTTGAAGATTACGTTCCAAGTAATTGATCGATTTTTGTAAAAATCAACAGTGATTCTGTAGAATCATCAATTATATTGATAGATATGATGAAATATGTTCAAGATTAAGTAAACTCATTCAGAATCTTTTGAAAAATATCATTAAAGTAGTGGAAGTAAATTTTATAATTTCGAAATTAAATTTGGAATCGTGAAGGTAGATCTTATTTAATACAATTAAAACTCTTTTATTATTTTAAGGATTGGATAAAATATTGCATCACGATGCATCAGACAACGGAATCACTCTATCTTGACTATAAACGCACATGCTGAACAGTATGCGGCTTAAATTGGTCACCCAATGGACAATATTTGGCTAGCGATGACAACATTTTGCGGATCTGACAGTCGATTACCGAGCAAAATCGTTCTCACTCTATTTATTTATTTAACCAGGGGCACCAAGCAAGTATCTTCAAGCTGCTGTAAAGATTTTTGTTTGGTATCCTTGGCAAAATAAATGCAAACGGTGGCGATATTGTTGACTGGACTATCAGATTTGGGATGTCAGCACAGGCAAGTTAGAGAAAGCACATTTTCTAAATTATAGCAGTGATAAGGCATTCGGTCTTACCAGTGAAAGATTATATCAATCGAGTGAGTACTATATAGGTAAATTATTTAAATTATATAAGTATAAAGAGTTGACATTGTGTTAATTTTCATTAATTCTGCACAGTTTCCACACAAAGGTACTAGGTAATTGTAAGTGTATAAGCATCTTTTTGGGACCAGATTCATGAAATTGAAATAAATTGGATTCTAAGTGATGTATATATTATTACATCGAGTCAATAAATATGTCTCCTAAAGTCCAATTCACCACCCAATCATTGATATGGAGAACGATCGAGTGGAATTTGCTTTGGCGAAATAAAACTTTCTCTAGCACTTTTTCAAAATATATATCTTACATAATAAAAATACATTTGTGTGTTTTGTACAGTCCTGGATTAAAAATTAAAATTATTATAAATGTTATTTTTATATAACTTTCATAACAATTAATATTAAATGTAACTTTTATAATAATTTATAATAAATTTAAAAAATTAAATTAAGTTAAATTTAACGATTACGAAATTTTTAAATGTATTTGAAGACTGTGCGCATCTTTAATTTCTTTTTTAAAGCCTAATCATTCATCAAATATAGAATGATTTATTATGTATTTATTTGTGTATATATTTTCACTAATGTAATTACAGAGTTTCAATTTTAAAATAATTAAGTTTATATGAAATGCAGTATCTTATCCTTCTAGAATACAATTGTAATATCATTGAGCTTAATAATTTTCTTTACACTATTATATTTTGTTAGAAATAAATTACACATGGAACGAAGTAATTTTTATTGCTTTATTGCTTTACCTAAATAGACATACTGTTGCACAAATTGTACATTTAAACGAGTTGCTGCTTCCCGTTATTACACAAAATAAAAAAGTAAGATAATAATATTTCAATAATAAACATAATAAATATAATAAATATAATAATAAAAATCAATAATTATTATAAATATTTGAGCTATAAAATCCGCAGTCTATATTTTTGTGAATTATACGTGTTTTACGTTTATTATACATTTTTTCTTGAGATGCATTTATAAGATTGCGGTATTCGTAAATTTCACGAAAAGTGAAACATTTTTAGTGATTTGAGACATCGACTCTATCATTATCTAACGAAATATCAAAGTGTTTATTATTATTTTTTACATGAATGAAAACAAAAATATTAATTTCATTAATATCATTAATTTCATTAATAAATGAATCGTCGTTTATTTTTAAGGATATTTATATTTTTTTTTGTTTCAAGAGTATATAATCCTTTATAATAAAATAAAAATAAAAATAAAAAAATAATAAAAATAAAACAAAAATAAAAAAATAAAAAAAATGTTTCTTATAAAATGAAAATGTTTAGTATCTTTATATCGTCGCGCGTAACATTTATATTCGCTGAGAAAATAATATAACAAAACTAACAATTTAGGAGCATAATAAAAATAGGGGATAGGAGCATAATAAAAATAGGGAATACGACAAGTTTTAAGTCGTCAATGGACGACGTTTAATATATTGTACGCTGACGATATGTAACGCGAAACTGTTGACAAACTGTTACTGTACAAAAACACTTAGCAATATTGTCACAATTTTCATCTACGAACAATAATTAAATAGTATGAACAATAATTAAATAAAGTTTTATAATAAACTAATAAATTATTGCTCGTCCAAATGTATTGTAATTGTCGATGAATCATGAATAATTTAATGTCGCCCTTTAAGAATTAAAAATACAGAAAAAGTGAAATAAGAAGACAAAATATTTAACATTAAAATGTTAGGTTTCTTTTATTATGCACAATCGTATTTCATATCAAATATTATCAAAAAATTCATTAAGTAAGACTGATTCTCCCAGTAGAACACTTTGTTAGAGAAAATAAAAAATTGCAAAAAATTAATTGTACAAGTCGTGAACGATTCTAAGTAAATCTACCATTTTTCTTTTCATACTTAAGCGGTGAAAAATGTAAAGAAAAATTAAGTAACGCGATTTTATTAGTAATCGAGATAGCATGCATACGCAAATAATATAATTGATCTGTAAGGAATCTCAAGTGATTGACATTTCGCGATATGATAAATAGGCTTGCTCAATAAACCGGTAACAAATATATACTTGAATATCGCGTATCGGCCCATAAATCGATTCCACAGTAGAATAAATAACGCCTTTATTCCATATGACGAAAGTGATAAACATCAAGCATACCGTTATTGTATAAAGAAATAGACATGTGACATTCTTCCATAATAAACTTGATAAAAGATAACGGCCCTTGCGCAATTCGTACATTATCTGCTTCTATAATGACTAGAGTTGATTTAGAAACAAGTTTGCAAGATTAATTCTTATCCGATGCTTATGATATGCGCATTAGAATTTTGGATTTTCACAATCCAAATAAAGAACATTTTTTTGAACAGCCTTTTATTATTGTAATTTGAGTTTTATAATAAACTAATAAAAAAAAGGAGCAAGTATTATTTCTTCCCTACGCTCCAATTATCGCGCTGCGGCTCTTATGTCTCATTTTCGATTTAATTTTTAATTTATATTTTTATTTTTGGAAATGTCTTATTCGTATGATTAATAATACAATAACATCTTTTCCTTATTCTTCTTTTTCAGCTGCTAAAAAATAGTCGTAAATGACGATGCATTCTAATTTGATTGTACGCAACGTGTAAAAAGCAGTTAGTATCTACGTCGCGCAGTAGTACCTATAACGCTTTCGCGTGTTCAGCTTTATTTTCAACGATATACATCTCGATACTCGGAAAAACTCTGCAATTATCCGTTTCCTTTGATTATTGAATCATTTATTAATAAAATGAAATTGATCGGGTTCATGTATTTGCTGTCGTTTTGTAGTCATCTTAGTGGGGCCCCGATAAATGTTACATCTAACAATAAGATAAGTATGCTCAATAGGAGAATAATATGGACTAATTGGAATCAATCGAACATCGAATTCAATTCTGATGCAATTCTCGACACGGTAAATGAAAGTTTTCATTCAGAAACGAGGATTAAAATCTTTAGTGTTTCGATTAATTTCTTCAATGTTGTTGAAAGTGATAAAAAATAATCTGATGTTTCTGGCCGCACTCTCTTATTCAAAACGAACCCCTTAGCTTCGCAAAATTATTTATTATAGTCTTTAAAGATACTTTGAATAGTATTTTTATATATTTTTGTCGCTTTTGAAGAATTGATTTAATTATTAATACTGCTCAATTAAGATTACATTTCTTTTTTCTTTATTTTAAAATGTAAAATAACGTGAAATATGTATGTCTGCATGCCTATGCCTATGAAAATAAATATATTATACATTTCTTGTTGCTCAAATTTATTTCAAGTTCAGATCAGTTTTTCCTCTTTCTTACACAGTCTTCTTTCAGCCGGAGATGATAAGAGAAGCGGGTTATCCTGTAGAAACTCACGTTATAACGACGGAGGATGGCTATCTCTTGACGTTACATCGTATCCCAGGTGGCAACGATTCTTTACCCGTGCTGCTGCTGCACGGTATGATAAGTAGCTCCGCTGACTGGGTCGTTCTTGGCAAGAATAAAGCATTCGGTATGATCGTCAATCAATTTTTAAAATCACAAATGTATCATAAAATCAAATCATTAATTTCGTTTCCATCGTAAAAATTGCAAAATTTCAAAATTTGAAAGTTTATGTTATATAACATATATATATATATAATTGATATACGAAAATGTAAATAATATATGAAAAATATTGTAAGTAATTTTTTTTAAATTTTAGCTTATTTATTAGCAGATCAGGGATATGATGTTTGGTTGGGCAATTTTCGTGGTAATATTTACTCGAGGGCACATATTTCTCTCTCTTCATCGAATTCGACATTTTGGGATTTTAGGTACCAGCAAAAAAATAAAATAGGAGTAATGGTGTTATAAAAATAAGATAATAATAATTGTTACAATATTTGTTTTCACTTGACGTAATACGTAAATATTTGTTAAACTTATATACATGTGCTTATTTTTTCAAAAATGTATCATTCGCATATTCGAGATATCTCACATTTTATTGTGCCAATATAATATAATTGTTTTTTATTTCTTGTTTGATTCTTCTTGATTAAATCATACTTTGTGCAAAATGTTAGTTTCTGCTTTTATGGAACACTATATATTATATTCATATGTATATGATATATTTATTTTCTCTGTGTGTATAAGTGTTCGTGTATATATTTATATATTTTATCATATATCGATTGAATTTTTCATTAGCTTTCACGAAATGGGCATCTATGATTTACCCGCGATGATTACATTTATTACGAACATGAGAGCGCAACCATTGCATACGTATATTGGTTATTCTATGAGCGCAACTAGTTTTTTTATAATGGCATCAGAGCGTCCAAAATTCACTCAAATGGTGCAAATGATGATCGGTCTCGCGCCAGCAGTTTTTGGAAATCACATGAAGAGTCCGATTCAATACTTCTTCCCATTAAGAAGAAAATTAAAGGTAAAGTAATATAATTGTGACACAATGTTAAAAGATATATAATTTATTATCATCTAATAAAATAATATAAAAAATTAAGTACATCTTTAAATAATGTACTACTTTTGTTAGAGATAAAGTTTGTAAATTTTGTAAAGTTTGTTATCTAAAAGAGGAAAAATAATATTAACAACGTTAGAAGTGTTATAAATAATATGACAGTAGTAATAATCAAATCAATAACTTAATTTTAATAATCGATTCATATAAATACTTGACTGTGATTGATCAATGTGCTTTTTTATTGCTTACATTTTTTTCGTAAGCAATAAATGAACACATAAATCATATGTTTTTGACTTAATGTGTTATTTCTCAATTCTTCTGCTATCAATAGAATAAAATAAATTTCTGACAAAATAGAAAAAAAAGATTTAACTTACAATGAAATATGAATGAGAAATGCAGTAGATTGCTTTTAACAAAACTTTTGATGAAATTAATTCTGAACACTTTAAAAACTTACATATTTGTTCTTGCTTCACATTTTGTTTGTTTATGTATATATTCAATTTTTAGTTACAATTTTAAGACGATATTCCTTGACGATTTAAAATTAAATTTGAAACAACTTTTAAAGCTTTTATAAATTATCTTAATAAATTTAAAAAGGTGCTTAAAAATTTATAAATTGATTCCCAAAATTAAAACAACTCGGATAAGAAAAAAATTACAAGATTTACATTAAAATTACATCATTAAGATATTTAATTGCAGATCGTGGCCCAATTGTTCTTTCACGATGAAGTCTTCGGGAGTGATTTTGTGAGATTTCTTTTGAAAAATATCTGCGACCAGAACATTACCGGGAAGTTATGTGTCAATCTTATGTCTATCATCTGCGGTGATGATCACGAACAGTTTAACTATGTAAGTAATTATAATTTGCTGTTGAAATACAACTCATTATTGTTTTTTTATTTATTGTTAGACTCTACTGCCTGTCATCTTGAATCATTTCCCGGCCGGCACCTCAACTAAGATTATTCTGCATTTGATTCAGTCATTTGAATCAGGCAAGTTTCGCAAATACGATCACGATCGCGTGAAAAATCTATTGATTTATAATTCGATGGAACCACCAGATTATAATTTATCAAATACCACAGTACCAATCGCGTTGTTTTATGCCAATAATGACTTGTTCGTCAGCATAGAGGTAAGCAATGAAAAATAGGTATTTATTTAAATAATGGAAATATATATAGAAAGGAATCACTTGACTGTAAATCGAATTTTAAATTACTTAATTGGGAATGTAATTGAAAAGAAATCACATTTGATAACTCACAAAAATATTTTTTCAAGGATGTGGAAAGGTTGTATCATTCACTGCCCAATGTAGTGGATATGTACAAAGTGCCGTGGTCTAAATTCAATCACGTAGGTTTTATATGGGCCAAGGATGCATCAAAACTGGTATACGATAGAATTCTGAAAATTATGAGAGGGGAAAATCTAAATAATGTTACGTCGGTGAAATAATATTGTCAACAATCGAAATTAAATATACATTACAAAAATAAATATTAAAAATAAATATTACATGTTAGATCTTTAATAAAAGATAACTGTATTAATTCATTAATTCAATGAAACATAAATTTATAGTATTTTAATGTTATTTATAATTAACGCATAATGCATGTATATCCAAAAATGTTTATTAAGAAGTTATAAATAAAATTATTTAAAGGTTCGGAAGCAAAATTGTTTTTATAATTTGTAGATGGAATAGCTAATTTAAAAATATATGATTCCATCTCTCCCAGTAATTTTTCACGAGTCTTGACTTATATTCGGATAGACTTATAGACTTATCATATGTTGTGATTTTTCTTAGATGTTCGATATTCATCCTGGTGTTTGAACCATTGGATTTTATCTTTGGAATGACAGTGTACACATTTTCATTATTATGTGATGTGCATAATGTCAGAAAAATTTTTTCTATATACTTTTTATCCATTTGTGATAAACATAATTATATATATAGAAAAATAATTGTCTCACATCTTTTAATTTGCAGAAAACAATATTCTAAATGTAAATTTAGTTAATGAAATAAATATTATTACTTTGTTATAGTTTTATGATCATAACGTATACAAGTATTAATTATTAAAATAAGTTGTTTCTTGAAATAAGAAGAAAAATAATTTTCTCATCTCTTTTAATTTACAGAAAACAATATTCTAAATGTAAATTTAGTTAATGAAATAAATATTATTACCTTGTTATAGTTTTATGATCATAACATACACAAGTATTAATTCTTAAAATAAGTTGTTTATGGAAATAAGAAGACTATGACGTTCTTCTACAAACTTGATAAAGGATAACGGATTCTTGAGTAACTCGTATATTATCTGCTTCCATAATAACTAGAAATGGTTAGGCTAGAAGAAACAAGTTTGCAAGATTAATTCTTCCAATGCTTATATATGCATTAAAACTTTCTGATTTTACTTATGCAAAAGTGTAATAGAATATTGAGCATTTATGAGAGATTGTCTGTTCCATTCTATTATCAAATATATTTAACGCATGTTCTACAGTAAGGAAGCCAAGCCAAATGTTTGTGTGACGAACAAGTACAGCTATTAAACCTGTATAATATTATTTTAATTCGTTTCAACTTTAATTTTCTTTTCTCTTTCTTATGATTTATATAAATATATAATTACCAATTAGCAAATGCTGTCATTTTTATGTGCTTTTATTGATGCACAAACAATATTACAAGTACTATATTTACAGATATAACATCTGTATAATAAAAAAAGCACCAAAAATATAGTGGTGGGAAAAGAGTAATATTGTAAGCATAAGTATCGACCAATTATTCCATCGCTCTGTTTCATCAGATCTGCAATTTTCTTTTATAATATTAAATAAGATAAAAATTTAGGCATGTTCCAAATAAATTTGTGCATCTTCTGTATATATGTAATATTGCACATATTAAAAGCTGACAATATCGCTGTTGTAATAAGATGCAATCCTGGCAACGTAGTGATTTTTGGATCCTGCTGAAAATAATTTAATTTAATTTATTTTTGAGAATTGCGCGCAATACTTGAGAACAAATTATTTTTATGCCATGTATTACCTGCGTAAAATTCCATGCGCAGTATCGTATTGTCTGCGGCATATGAAAAACTTCATCGATAAAGGAATGTGGTTGAATACGATTGAGATATAAGAAAAGTAATATAGTACCTGTAATGAATAACATTAATGTGGAATACACAAATATTTTGTATTTTAGTTTCATGTAATTGAGACGAGATACGACACTCATGATTTCTTTAAAAATGCGTCCACAAATATCATTTAACTTCAATAGCTTGACATTCGTCAAATTAATATTATTAATCATAGCAGCTTGTTTTGATTAGTTTAATCTAACCTAACCAATTATATTATATGCTCCTCATTAAAATGTGTAAAACTCTACATCGCACACATTTAATACAATTAAGATACCACGTAATAAAATGTATTACACTAATTAAATATTATTTTTATTATTTTTCAAATATTATGTTAAATATTAATTTTTCAAGATTAAATATTATTTTTCAATATTATTTCTAATAATAAAATTATTTTTTAAATATTATTTTAAATATTAATTTTTCAAGATTAAATATTATTTTTCATATTATTTTTAATGGTAAAATTATTTTTAAAATATTATTTTAAATATTACTTTTCCAAGATTAAATATTATTTTTCAGTATTATTTTTAATGGTAAAATTATTTTTAAAATATTATTTTAAATATTAATTTTTCAAGATTAAATATTATTTTTCAATATTATTTTTAATGGTAAAACCACGCAGCCACGCTCGTGTTTACATTCGACGTATGACACCGAGAGATTAGATTAGGTTAGGTGAAAAATTATCGTTCGACAGTTGGCATCCCTGCAAGATATTCTGCGCGCGCGTATACAAAATAAACTTCAAATCGCTTCTAGCCTAACCATCTTCGCGCGATCGATTTTATTTGAATTGCATCGCGTCGCATCGAATTACGATGCGGCGCCGATTTGCCCGAAAGTAATTCGGGACGTCGCGATGCTGTATAAGCGTCGAATGAGCACGAATTGTCACGCAAATATGATAAATGAAATCGACTCACCGTTCACCGGCTGTTCCACAGGCCGCTCCATTCGCTCGCCTCGGGACGTCCCATTCCGATCTTGATGCACGCAAACTCGCGCGATATCGTCAACGCGAACGCGCGACACTTTATTCAGCACTCCCGACACTCGCTCGCGTCCGATAATCATCGTCAAGGGCGCGAAAAACGCGACGCAACCACGCTCCACCTTCGCGATCGCGCTGTTACCGAACTGTCAAAATCAGCTGATCGCGCGCTTCCATCGTATCGTGAAAGTCGCGCGATCATCCTCGGACACTCTCGACGCTCGTTCACTCGCGATATTCGTTTATTTGCGATTAAAAGAAAATGGACGCGGAAAATGCGGACGTACGACGATCCGCGGCAATTGCGTATGACTCCGATTCACGTATGACGTGTCCAATGACGCGGAACTAACATGGCGGCCGAACCGGCGCGCGCATCTGCGCATTTTACGGCCATTACTACGCTCAACGTTTGCGCGACTTTGATCTTCGAATATTGTATTCTACGGCTTTGATTAATAGCGCATAATAACACAGTAAAATATTTTGTGTTGAATTTAACATATTTCACATGTCCAAATTTATCCACTCTAATTTTAATGTTAATTTAACAGAAGGCAAGTATGTAAATAAATAGCACAAGTAATATGTTTAAAAATTGACAGAAAAGTATAACACTTAAACTTTATCTAGAAATAAAGTTTATGTTAAATTAACATATTTATAATGTTAAATTTAATTAAAAGAAAATGTTAATTTTACATTTTTATGATAAATAACAGAAGAGATATGTCGATTTAACATATGGAAAGTGTTATAGAGAGAAAAATAGCACAACTTATTTGTTCATTTATTCACATATCACATATTTCATCAAAAATTCGTGCATTTACATATTAATTGTGTTGTTTTAACTCTTAGAAACGATGAATATTAACTCAAAGCAGAAATGTCAAAATAATGCAACGATAATATGTTACATTAACATAAGAGTATGTTAAAAATTTAACACAAAAATTTTTACACGAGAAAATTTTAACAGAAATACAAAATATTTTTTACCGTGTACGCTCTTCGGCCTTTATCGATACTATGATAGGGAACCAACCTGTTAAGGTCCTGGCACAGAAAAATACGTAAACAGTGAGACGTAAGTACTAAGGAAATCAACAAATCGGTATTCTCATATTTTCTTACCTTTTAATACGATTGTCTTTACCGTTTAATCGTGATTGGTCGATTTCCTTACTGTTTATATATTTTTGTGTGCCAGAGCCCTTAAACGTTACAGGTCGGTCGATACGTCACTTAACTACAAATGTCTATGCCCAAGTAACATATCTTCGTTTTAAAAACGTTTTACAAATGTTTCTTCGAAGTATTTCATAAGCGACTCTTGAAAATGTTTCTAATTGGTTAAAATGTCTACATGAAAAACGTTAAGAGATAAGTTTCCTTTCTGATAAAAAAACCGTTTAAAGAACGTTTAAAATATGTTTTTCCTCTCGTTTTTAAATGTTCGTTAAAATACGTACGTTTAAAATGTACGTTTAAAATGTACGTTAAAAATGTACGTTTAAAATACGTTTTTCTAAATGTTAAAAACGTTTGTTTTCTCATGGAAGAATAAAACGTTTGTTTTCTCATGGATTAATAAAATAATGCATTCATACACACTTTCGAAAAGTAATTCAATATATATATTATCAGTGAAAACAGTAAATAGAGTCACTGATACAGCAGTTATAAGTTTTATTATTGCTAAAAATTAATAAATAGCTGTAAAGCAATAATATTTTATTGAAACAATTAGTAATATTGACCGTTTTAATCAGCAATATTAAATTATAATTTATTTACCTCATATAAAATTAAAAATTTTATTTAAAAGAATTGGAACATTCATATTAAACATATGTAATAATTATTAATTCTAATTATTAATTTAACACTTAAATTTAATTACTTAATTTCTTCAATTTCTTAATTTATGCTGATTTATATTTAGAAATGTAGCAATGCCAAATTTTTTTTGTGAATCTTTTAATTATTTTATTTTGCATACTTTCTTATTTCTTTGTATCAACTTCTACAAGTTTTGTATTTTTAATTTCATGATTTTTTTGTTTTGTAATATTGATTATTAATAATAATAATAACAATAACAATAATAATAATAATAATAATAATAACAACAATAATAATAATAATAATGGTATATAATGGTAATTATTTACTTTAGGAAAGCTTACATTATATAATAAAAATATATTTACATTATATAATAAAAATGCCGTTAGACTTTTGATTACGGCTTTCTGAAATATTTTAATCGAAA